ATTGGCATATGAACATACCAAGGCTTCTGAATTGTCCAACATTGCACTAGATGTGGAGACTATGCACTGAATCCTGACTAAATGCTTAATGGTAGGAATTTCTAGTGTTTAGCACTGGAAATTTAGCATATTCTGCAATGTGGAAAGTCTTTCCTGAAGTTAAAATGGAAGAATAATTGAAGAAGGAGTAGAAGGAAGTGTATTTCAGAGTGGGGAATTTGTCATTAGCAATACAATTACCTTTAATTTATAACTTAGCAGAGGGCAGAAATGAATATATAAAGCATATAGAAAGAGTTCCCTCCTCCCCTCCACCCTCCTAACCTTCTATTTTTTATGATCCTGTGTTAGAAGTCCTTGTCAGTGAGATGAAGCTTGAGTAGGAGAAAAAAATATACTGCATATAATACTCAAAATGTATGTGGGATGGAGAGAGTGAGTGAGATTAATCAACTAATTGCAATACAAATAATTAATAAATGATACAATGTCAAAATACCAGGCTCAGCTGTAAATGTCAGTAACTATTTTTCCACCTGCAAGAGAGACTTCAAAATGTGAGTATCTGCATGGTAGATATGTAACTGCAATGGAACTCAAGGATAAAAAAAAAACCCTGCAAAGCTGTGAAATTTGCTCCTCCCTCTTAATTGTATGTCTTAAAAAGCAAAGCAAAAACCAGCCAAACCCCAGTTCTTGTCACCATGGTATCACCCCTCCCAGCTAAATACATTGGAATTAATCAGATGCTCCAGAGTTGCAAAATAGTAATAATGCATTGTGCATTAGGTAGGTCTGTTCACTTCAATCTTCACTGCAGTGTGTGAACTCTCTGCACCATGGCAGTACTGCTTGATTGAAATAAATAGTAAGAATTCATGGATGGATGACGAAAGTATCTGAACATTTTAGTAAGCCCTCTATTTTAGAAAAAGGGATGTGACTTGCAATCATTCGCTAAATTTGTATTGTAAACTGATTCACAAATATTTCTCTGTGCAATTACACTTAGCAATGTATTATGCTTAAGGTGATGAAAATGTGACTTCCTGAAAAAGAAAGGAGCCTTTCTTTAGTGTCGGGTAACGCAACTTTCTGCTGAATAAGAAGTGCACTTAGCCTTGCAACCCCTTACTTTCACTGCCTTGGTCTGTCATCTTAGCTAATTAGATCCTCAATTAAAATAGGTTTAGCTCATAAATTACATGCAAAATAGTGTTGAGCAGTTGGAGACTGGTGAGATTATCTATATGTGAAAGAGGAGCAATAACCATATACAAAATTATGCATAATTCATGGACATTTTTTTAAAGTGTGCATAAGATGCAAAGCTTCTTCATAGTTTCCTCATGTTTGAGATATGTAGAATATTTGTCTCGTCTGCTATAATATATAATACAGGATGTTTTTGTCTGTTTCTTCACAGGTACGGTTTTATATTGGGGCATATTGTTATCCCACGAATCAATCCCCATCTTCTTTGTGCAGCAAATCATACTGGCATTTACAAACTTTCAGCAAACACAACTGATCGTTATGATGCATATTGTTACAATGCAACAGGTATGTATAGGTTTTTATGATATATTTTAGATATAAATTAACTAATAGTAATATGGGCGATCTAGTTAGGATACTGGAACAAAGGCTCCTATATTAAAATATCATCTATTTTGCAGCTGAGAAGAAACATGTTTTGCCAGTATCTATAATGCCAGCAACAAGTTTGACCCATTTTGTCATTACTGTGTTTGGGAGTTTGCAATCTTCTTAGTTAGAGACTTAGTAGTTTTGGAACTGTTTAATTTGAATAGTGAAACACCACAGCCATGAATCTAAAGGATGTAACTGTTGCAACTAATAGCATCCAGTTCTTCTATTCATGCTCACAGTTAACTTCTATAACTAACAATGATTTGTACAAATCTGTGAAGCTTGGGGGCCTGAAAGGACTTTGGCTTTCCTTTCCGTGTCCGTGATGCCTCCCCGAAACCTACATTCAGACATTAGGAAGTTGCATAGTGATCTAGCTCAGAAGCAGAATTCTGAGTTTGGAAAAATCTTGCAAATTATTAGGAAACTATAAGTAAAGTTGTGACAGATGGTAAACACAGACAACATTTGAAGATAAAATCTGTACTAACTTCTGCTGTCTTGGATTTCAGCAGATTATTGCATTCACAGTGGAAAGAAACCAGATCCTACAGAAAGCTCTAGGCAAAATTCAGTGATGTTCTGAATGGCACTGCTATTTCTGAATATTGTTCACAGTGGACATATAATTAAAAAATGTAGCATTACTGAGCTGTTGATCTACTCTAGAGAACTCAGTCAAAAACAACTTACAAGGGGTTTCAGGAAGGCAGTAAATCTGTCATGTAGGGGTGCCTCTTCCCTTGGGTGTCGATGAGTCTGTTCCCACCAGAGCTTTTAGCCTCTTCTGAGTCTTATTTCCTTCCTGCACTATGAGCGGATGTCACCCACGATAGCAGCAAGCAGAGCGTACCGACTGGGAATGTGTCCTCTGCAGCAGACCTCAACCAAGGGCAGAGGGTCCCCATACCTGGAAGGGTGTCAAGCTGCCACTGCTGCTGTAACACTGGGGCTGTCTGCATCAAAACAGAGTTATTAAAGCTTTTTTAACTGATGCTAACTGGGTTGGTTTTCCAAAAGGATTATGGAAAGAAAAAATCTGGTTAGCTGGCAGAACAATATTGGAGTGCCTCATCAGGGGAAAAGCAAAAAGGAGACATAGATTAGCAAATGAGCTTCGGTTTGGATTTATATATATATATATTATTATTCACCTTTTAAGGTATGTTTTTGTGATTATGTAAATTCTGAAAGTTTTCTGGGAAGTTTTCTGGGCTGCCATATGGGGTCAAACCAAACATTATCATTTCCAATAGTAGCCAGACACGCTAAGCTAATGCTTGGAAAGGCAATGTGATTTTTAGGTATATCATGAAAAATCTGTAGACAGGTCATACCAATAAATATTTGAAGATAATTAGTATGGTTTGATAAATGTTAATTTTAAAATAAATTATCTAATATTAATATTTTCTATTTTCTTTCTTTTTCAGAAACAAGAGATAAGGCATGTGAGCCAATAGATAAGCTAAACACCTCTATGCTCAGTGATCACAGCAAAATAGGTATTGTATTGATTAGAAAGACCATTTGCTTCTTTCTCAAGATTTCTTTTTTTAATATGTGATTATTATTTTTAAAAATCAAGTCAAGCATAAGAAAAATAGGTTTAGGGATGTTGTACTGCAAGTAAAGCAATTAATCACTCATCTTTCATAGAATCATAGAATCATAGAATGCTTAGGGATGGAAGGGACCTCTAGAGGTCATCTAGTCCAACCCCCCTGCACACGCAGGGTCACCTAGAGCACGTGGCACAGGACTGCGTCCAAGCGGGTTTGGAAGATCTCCCTTGGAACTTAGTTTGCCTCAAGGTGCTACTAACACTTTTTTTTTTTTTTTTTTGTATAGGTGTTTGACAGGTTGACAAAACTTAGGGCTGCTGACCTTTCTTTGACATATAAGAATTTCCTAAATATGGCAGCTCTGCTCCGTTCTGTTTAAGTTGTCAGGTAGCAGGGCAAATTGAAGTGAAAGAAGACTCTCCTAATAAATGATTTGTCCCAGTTCTAAATTAATTTATAACTATTTCTCTTTATTTTTAATTATTATAGGACTTGAGTGAAATATATCTATGTAGCTCCTAGATATTAACAGCTGTTTAATTCTCCTTCCAACAGTCATTGATAATGAAGATGGCTCACGTTATAATGTAGATGGCACACGTCATAGTGGAGATTCCTCAACCTCTGGTGTAGATGATGAAAATGTAGGTAGTGGCTCGACACATGACACAACTGCAGTGGATACCAGCATCAGAAGATCCTCCAGTACCTCATATTTTGAACATACGACTCCAATCTCACAGTTACCAGATCATTCTTCTGGAGGAGGCGAGAAGGAATTTCCTTCAATAAGTACTGGTAAGACTAGTAGTTTGCAACTGTATCCTCTTTAAAACAACTCAGTAGAGAATTACATTTCTAGCTAAATGATCTTATATGGGTACGAGAATCAGAGTCTCTGAATTGTAGTCCTGTGTATTAAAGAGAAAAGGCTGTAGCTTTGGAAAATGGAAGCGTTCCAAATTTCTAAGGACTTTTTTTGTTTGCCTGAGAGTGCAGACCAACTGATATCAGCATAGATTTCCACATACGCCTTCCCAGGATGATGATAATGATTGGTTCTAAGCAATTGTTCTTGTTCTTAAAATACTGATACTGATTTCACTAGGAAGATCAAAAACAAGTCTAGTAAAGAACACAGAGAGGCAGAACCTGGAGATAAGGATAGTATATTATCTGTTTTCTAATAGAATGAATTTAAGACTTGAATTTCAGTAATAAAAAGAAAGAGTAGTTTTCAGTACAAGTAATTTTTTTTCTTTGTACAAATGTAGTGGGTTTTTCTAGAATGTATTCTTACTACAGCATACTGCAGAAGGTAGAGGTTAAAGTGCCAAATAAAAATATTATTAATAGGATCCTCCTCCAGGTAAAAAGCCCAATTCTATCCCCATGAAGCCCTATCAAATACAAATTCCATAGTCTTTCCTAGGGCATTTTGGAGGGTGTATCCAACTGTAGTATTAGAGTATCTTGCCTGTATTTTCCTTTCTTGTGGAGGTGACTTGCCATGTACTTGCCATGTACTTCAATTCCTTGCAATGAGAATTCTTGCTACCTCTGTTTACATGCATAGCTTTTTTCTTGGACTAGCTCAGCGTATCTCAGTTAAAAAAAAGAATACAAGTAGCTTCATTCAGCGCTCTGAATTCCATGTCCAAATGGTACACACGTGCCATAAAAGCTTGTATCACATGAACAAACTGTTGCCAGAATTTTCAACATCACTATAAAATATAATTTTCTTGAAATAATCTAATTTTGTGATAAACATACTCGGTTAGTAAAGCAAAGGTATTTGGAACTGAACTTGTAGGAAGAACCTACTTTGTATCTTTCTCTTCAGCTGGACCCATAAATGCAGAAATGGGGACTTGCAATAAAGAATAACAGTAGTTGTGAGTATGCCGAGTTGTAACTCAGCTAATGAAACAATAACAATTAATCCATTTTCATACAGATTATGAATTTTCTGCAGTACCAACTGACGTCTCTTTGGTGCCACTAGCTGATGATTTTCCTGAAAAAGGAGATGGACAGCAGCCTGCAAGTACTAGTAAGATTTATGTATTATAATAACTAACTCAAATTTATGGTGTTAAAGCTGCTTTCTTCTTCTAGCAGGGCATTCTGGTAAGTGGGGAGATATGTATTATCTCCAATATTGCAAAAACATTGAAGGAAATTGCTTTCTGGAGTGGCTGAATCAGAAATAATCTGTACTGTCTGGTTGGCAATCATTTATTCAGGGGACAAGGGGAGTCAAAACATTTACTGTTATTTTAATGTTTATACAGGAGTTAACGAAGTATTGTTGATTTACTTATTCTATGTTTCCCATTGCCTTCTTATCACATCTATTTACTCTATGAGGCATCACAAATTATTGCAACCAGTTATCACTTGAAATGATAATTTCTATTGCTTTCAGAAGTAGAAAGGGCATTTTGGTCAGTTTTGTTGAACATACATCTATATGTCATTCTGATTTGTTTACACTTGTGAAGGTGGATAATTCTGGGTCAAAATCATGGCTTTGCTATGCTTTAAGTGGTAGTTCCAATTGCCAGCCCATTTATGCACTGCAAAAAATGAACTTTGCTCATGTTGGTGGTAAGAGGTGCAAGAAAATTCTGGGCTTATTGACTAGAGTCTTTGAGGTTTCAACATAGTCTCAAATAGTTAATGGTGTTTAGCTGTTAGCTGCTTTCTCCACTTGCCCTTAAAAAGCTGTACCGAGTGGCAAAACTCCCGTATTTGTATCTACTATCTGGTGCACAGCTGCAAAAAATAAATAGGAAAAAAAATAGATTATCTTATACTTAGATATCTTATCTAATCATCTTATGTTTTTACATATAGAGAGAGGTGATATCAGACATGCACTGCATTATTAGCAAGATATATCCATCATATTTGACTTCAGTGCTTATCATGTATTATCTAGCCTTCTTCAATATGAGAAAGGCAGAAAAGCAATGTAAAGGAAATAACACAATGTTAGATAGTCTGAAGGGATATACTTTCAAACTACATGTAGCAGGTGCATGTACAGTCAATAATAAACCTTCTCATTAGTCATACTCCAGGAAATATTTGTGAAAATCTTGCATTTTTTTCTTACTAAAGACTTAAGTTTTGGCAGAAGAAACAGTGAGATTTATTATTTAATTATGTGTAATTATATATCTATAAAATATGAATTGTGTGTGTGTGTGTATACACAAATGAAATCATGGCATTTATTAAGTCTCTTCTACTGATCATAGTGATACTCAACCAGAGCATATCTATATGCCAATAGCATATGTCTCAATATTCCTAAGAATTTTCTTTTTAATACATTATCTGTCCTTCCATTTTAATTTTGGACATTGACCACTGTAACCCTCTATTTCTGAGTAGTAAAGAGTAGGAGTAGTACTAAACCTAATGAATAATAGGTGATCATTGGATGATACTATGCCTATTCAGCCAAGCTGTTTTTCAGAGAATCAAGATTTGTTAGGCTTTGCTACAAAAGTGACGACTCCTTGTAAAAAATGCAGTTCTGAGTTTAATATGATGCACTTTGCAGTTTACAGGGAAGACAAAATAACTACTGCAAACTGAAGAAAATCAATGTGTCCTGTTTGGTTTTTTGAACTTGGATTTCTAGGTCTTGCAATTTCTAATGCATTACACAAAAATGATTAAAAAAATGTTGTAGAAGTCAATCTTGAAGGTTTTTTTCTGAATGAATTTTGAAGACTATTCTACTGAATTAAGAAAGAGGGCATATGCCTCTTCCTCTTCAAAATATAGAACATATTTTTAAATGCTGATAAAAATCTTGCCTGTGTAGAATTGCTCAGAATACAAATATTTCCAGAAGGCATTTTGAAGGAGATTCTGCCTCTTTTTGGTGAATGACTTGCAACACAGCTCTTGTTGCAAGCTCTGCTTTTTAGTGTCAATGCTTCTTAAGGTTCCTAACAGAGAGAGATGTTAACCTATCAAGGGGGCTTGGCTGAGGGATTTCATTTTCTATGGTGTGCATGCTTCTATTAGACTTGTGTGCTGTTTTTAGAAAAAAAATGGGGAAAATTTCATATTTCACATTCTATCTTTCGCAGCTATAAAATCTCTGCAGAAATCATTGACTTTACTGACTTGCAGAGCTGATAACACAATCTTATACTTCAGTAAGGTGTTTCAAACTTGATGATCACTAAAACCATTGGGTTTTTATGTTCTTTGAGGAATGTACTGATACCACGGGGTTCATACATTCGCTTTGCGCTCACTTCCATCTGAGTGGCATGAGCATGTTGAGGGTGTCGGTGCTGGTGGACTTGACTTTGCTAGAGAAAAAACACCTCTCAAGAAATAACAAGTTCTCGGTTGAACAAACCGTGTCCTAACAGCTCTGGAGCCTCATCGTGATGACCTGGAGAAAACCACCACCCAGGCTCCGTGGAATCCGTTCTTGCACCACTGGTGGTGGTCAAACCCTGGAGACAAGGCACAAGAACCAACGCAAGCAGCAAGGGGTAAAGAATGTCATGCCAAGAGGGGTGATTTGTTTAGGGACTGAGTCTCCTTGCTGCAGGAAAGCAGCAAGTTTCAGAACCTCTTAAGTGGAGGGACCTTGGCTGTGTGGTATTTGTTGCTACTTTTTGTTTTGATTTGTTTGATGGGGATTAGAATCTCTCACTCAATGTACATTTCACATTTGGAAGCCATGGAATCCCTCATTTAGCCTGGGAATGACACATCTCCTGAGGAGGTTCTCCACCACTGGAAGAAAAAAAAAAAAAAAAGAACTTCTATATCAGTCATGTAGATCCCACCTGTGACAGGGATGCAAAAAGTCTTTCCTCTGCTTTAGAAGGCAGAGAAAATCTGCTGTACAGGCTATGAAGTGGAAAATGAATGAACAGCATTTCATTAACCACTTACATTTTTATTTGCTTATCTTAAATGAATCAGTGAAGAAGACCTGAAAAAAAAGAGGGAAGTAGTAAGACATATGTCTGATTTCTTTCAGTTCTTTTCTCTTAAAGAAGATGAGTGTGTATTTGTATTGGAAATAGCATTCAGTATCCTATAACAATGAAAGCTGTGAGGGAATAAAAAAGAGAGATTACAAAAGTTTCTTTTTGTTCTAAAAATAGACATGTGAACGTAAATCTTCCCTGTCATTTAAGAGTATGCAAATGACCTTAATTGCTTTTCCAAAACTCAGCTATAAGGGAGAAGGGTTTGGTCAATGCTGTGACTCTGCTTTGGGCATTGAAATATAGGTAACAGGCATCTTGCAGTAGGGAACAGGGCCATGGCACTGTCGTGAATCCCTTATGGGACAGAAGAACCGGAGGAGAAATGGAGTTGTGGGAAGCAAGGATCACACTTTGTGTGACTTTCGGCTGCAGGCATTGTAGGGGAAAGAGGAAAGCGCAGATGCTGTCAAATGGCGGCCTTGGTGGTTAGGGCTCATTGCCAATTTAACATCATCACAGCAGATGTGACTTCAAGTGGCAATGGTTCAGATGACGAGGACTCTTCAGAGGAGACGTTTTACCCAACAGTGCTTCCAGACTGGGACATAACTGTGGCCAAGAAAGCGTATTCTCCAAGTACTAGTAAGGAGTTTCCTTTATTTTTTTATCCTATTTTTTCCACTTGCTCTACCTGACTTTCCTCCTCCTTTGCCACACCTATATTGAGGACAGAGTGGTGGCTCTTCTGATGCGCTGTTGCTTCAGAAAGTCTGCCATGCTTTGGGGAAAATTGCATATTTAGATCTTTGGAGGTTCCTATGCTTAGAAGGAACTTCTACTGCTGTTAGAATTGCTGCCCTGGTTCTGTGTACAGTTGTTTTGTGGGCTTCCTAAGCAGAATGTTGTCTCCCAAGTAACAAATCTTTTCTGGAGGGGTCTTCCAACCTGTGTACATGTGGCACAGTTAAATCTGTTGGCATACAAATACCTGTTTATCTTGGCTAGCACAATGGAGGAAATGGGTGTTGTTTCTTCTAGCTTCTCTAAATGAAAAGCTATTTCCATCCCTAAACATCTGTGACAAACCTAAGGAGCATACTGCTTGAAATGCAATGTTACGGGGGGACTTTGCGGGGGGAGGGACATGATAGAAGTAGATCTGTGTCTTTCTTTCCATAATGTGCCTATGCCTAACTCAAAAATGTTTTGGCTGTGGATTTTGCTGAGAACATCTGGTCGGGGGAGCGCATGTGTCTTTCAGGCGGAATGACCATTGTTCTGAGGTCTTTGGTAGCGTTGGCTTGATATCGTTGGTGGTAGAGGAGAAGTCTAAACTAACGGGTGTGCTTGTTTCTGGGTGTCTTTTCTGCCTAGTGTGGATCCTTCTTTCACCTTTTGTATGCGTTTTTATATCAAGACTCATTGGATGTTCTGGAGGCTACTTGAAGCTACCTACTCCCTCTCCTGCTGGCCTATGTGGAATTCATTAACCTTAGTGGACCGCAATGTCTTACCAAGACCTGTAGAGCTTTTTGACAACTCCTCCTTATGTCTCATGTGTTTCTTGGAATGGCCACTAGTGCCTTTCTCTGGCTAAGTATTTGAGGAATGTACTGATACCACGGGGTTCATACATTCGCTTTGCGCTCACTTCCATCTGAGTGGCATGAGCATGTTGAGGGTGTCGGTGCTGGTGGACTTGACTTTGCTAGAGAAAAAGCACCTCTCAAGAAATAACAAGTTCTCGGTTGAACAAACCGTGTCCTAACAGCTCTGGAGCCTCATCGTGATGACCTGGAGAAAACCACCACCCAGGCTCCGTGGAATCCGTTCTTGCACCACTGGTGGTGGTCAAACCCTGGAGACAAGGCACAAGAACCAACGCAAGCCGCAAGGGGTAAAGAATGTCATGCCAAGAGGGGTGATTTGTTTAGGGACTGAGTCTCCTTGCTGCAGGAAAGCAGCAAGTTTCAGAACCTCTTAAGTGGAGGGACCTTGGCTGTGTGGTATTTGTTGCTGCTTTTTGTTTTGATTTATTTGACATGGGAAAAGTAAAGGATTAGAAAGGATTAGAATCTCTCCACTCACTGTACATCTGGTAGCCATGGAGCACTTGGCTGCATTCTTTCATGTATTGTGGAGATATATGTAAATATTTATGTTTGTACATACAGACAGAAGAGATGGATATGTGAGTCAAGTCTGTAAACAATCTAGTTTGGTTTTTCTTTTTTCCTCTTTGGAAGAAATTTAGAAGTAGATTATACCAGTGAAAAGTACTTAGAAGAAAAAGGAATAGCAAATTTCAAGGCTGAGTCCTACCTTCACCCACTGAAAGGGAGCATCGTTTGGTCTACAGCAATGTATAATGTCATTGAAATGTAGATAACAGACACCTTGGAGCAGGTACCAGGGCTGTGGCATCATGATGAATCCCTTATGAGACAGAAGAATAAGGAGGAGTCATGGGACATAAGGCACTCTTCACTTTTGTGTGTGACTTTGGGCTTCAGGCATTGTAGGTGAAAAGAGCAAGGTGTAGATGCTGTCAGATGGCGGCCTTGCAGGTAAGGGCTTCATTGCCGATTTAACATCATCATTAGCAGATGTGACTTCAAGTGGCAATGGTTCAGATGACGAGGACTCTTCAGAGGAAACGTTTTACTCAACAGTGTTTCCAGGCTGGGACATGACTGCGGCCAATAAAGAGTATTCTCCAAGTACTAGTAAGGAATTTCCTTTTTCAAAGATAATAATTGCTTCCTTTATCTAATTTAATTTTGTTTAATTTAAGCACAGCTTAAACAGGCACGTCTTTGTCTGTTTACCTGTGCACTCTGAAGCATGTATGATTAAGTGCTTATAAACAATATTTTATTTCTGAATGTTGTGAAGTGCTTGGGAAACATTTCAGTGTTTGTTGTTTTCAGCAGTGCTCTGAAAACAAAGCTAAAAAAGAATGAGAAAAATAATGCTTGCTTTGAGATTTTTGTTCTTTTACATTTGCCTGCGTTTTAGGTGTTTCTAAAGTTAGTTTATTTAGCTTTGACTCTTTGCACTCGTGATTTTTTCCATATGATGCATCAAATTCCTGTTGCCTTCTATGAGCTATATGTGTTTGCATGCACCATGAGTGTGAATCTATACCATCTCTTATCAGTCTCTTTGCGGACTTTTTTTTTTTTAATCTATTCAATTATACTGTAACTTTATTGACTAATATTGACTTTCTGGTGGCAGTCATGGTGCCCCTTTTTTTTTTTTTTGACTATTGCTTTTGAGCATAGGGGTGGATATTCTAGAATGAATCTGAATACTTGCTGAGTACTGAGGAAGCATGTTTTACATGTACTCAGCCGCCTACCATGTTCTTTAACTTCAGCATTATTCTTCAAGCTTCACTTGTAGTGTTTTGTATTGGCTGTAATGGTTTTGCAGTACTTCTGCTATATGCTGTACTTCTGTTGCTTGTTTTCCTCAGTATCTTTGAGAAAGTTCGCATCAGAGTTTTGCTTCTTCTGGATGTAAAGGGATCTGATAAGGAAATTAGTGAGACTGAGGTCAAGCTAGGCATGCATTCTTGTTCTCCTTTATTTGTAAGGGCACATGTTAACAGTGCAGTAATAGCAGTAGAACATGACCACCATTGCACCCTCCGTTGTCCTAACAGCTGTGGGCTCTCAGCATGAAACACTGCAGGAAATCTCCACGCAAGATCATTGGAACCCATCCTATACAGACGAAGAGGAGTGGTATTCTAGCACTGCTGTCAGGGGTAAAGCAATTTAAATAATTCAGATAATATTCAGATTTGTGACATAATTCAGTGAAATACAAAGCTGTATGATGAAACCAGTTGTAATTCCTTTACCACTAGCCTCAGTTCAATATAATAACTTTGAATTAATTATGCTCTAGCTGTCATGACAGCTCTCTCTGTCAGAGGTATCATCTGTAACATTCAGCTGCCATTCCAAGAATATCTTTTGTGTGCACCCTTCATTACTTGGCACTCTTCTCCCTATCACTAGAATCTTTAAACTTGCATCTCCAGTAGTGTAATATAACTGAATATATTGTAATATGTAACATTTTGGTGACCCAGCTTTGTGAGGAAAAAAAATTCCCCCTCTCTAATACTCTGGAGATAAAAAAGGGAGATGGTGATTCAAATGCATAAAAGGATGTATTAATCATAATTTCTCAGTTAGACTATCATCTGGAACAACAAAGTCTTCTTGTCTGGGGATATGACAAAACTGAATAGTAACCTCCTACTCTTTCCATTGCTTAGTACACATGCAAAACTATAGGTCTACTTACAGAAACATCCAGGGGAATAGTCGAGAATTAGGTAGGTGGCAAACTGGCAGATATAAAGTTCATATTGATTTGGACATGTTCTTTATTGTGGGAAAGAAGAAATCAGAGACTCTAAGAGGAGAAAACATATAGAATCACAATATATATTATATATAGTGTTTGTGGGATTTTTAAAAATTCCTTCATCTGACACTTTATCTGGTGAAATCCTTTTTTTGTTGCTTGTGTTTCTCTGGTGCAGTTTGAAATGGCTTGGTCTTTTCTTTCCTAGGTGATTCCTATTGCTTATATAATTGGAGACCACTGCTAACCTTATTATTATTATTAGCTCTCCAAAGTTAATTTCTTGTTCTAGAATTAACACAATTGCTTTATTTCAGTGAGTCTTATCTTCTCCAATCTTAC